TGTGCCCCATCCCTTGTTTAATTTTATTGGCAACAAATTTATGTTTAAAGCTAAATAAATTTAAATTCTTAATATTGGCAAGTGTGCAATTAACTTCTACTGATGAATAATTACTGTTCAATAAGTTTGAATACGGACTTAGAAATCACATAACTTGGTTTCATAGTGCGGTAAGAAGTTGCAGTTGCCTGACGGCCCCTCTCTGGGGGCCCCTTTGGAAACCGTTTCATCTCGCTCGCACCACTTGTGTTTACTGCCTAGTCAAGTGACGTTGTCGGCACTATTTTTAGCAGGGCTTTCCCGAACAATTCAAGTGGTCAAACTGGACATTTGAAACGGACTATGAATATCGGGATAGCGTGGTAACATAAGTGGAAGTGCATACAATACATACATTCATTTAAAAAAAAACGCCTTTTCACGTGATGTCCCTTTAATCCACATTTTATCAGGGATAAGAATGAATCTGTAAACCAAAAGCCTGTGTATACATGTGTTTTTATCAAATGTTTGATAGGAAAATTTTGAAATGGAGATTCTAAATACCACTAAATTGCCCCTCTCCAATATCTATTTCTTATTCCTTGTTTTAAACATGATATATACAGTATTAAACATTGCTGTCATAAGACGGACCAAAATCGGACATGAACCATTTACAAAGATCAAACATAAATATTACAGATCCCGTTGGATTAATAATCAATTATGGACTTGTGTTCAAATGAATTTATTAACCGAAATAAAAGTCTTTAATTGTTATATAGACGCTAAATAATGATTTAATCATTAAACGAGACGGAACAAATAAAAATTGTACGTTACGTTACTTACAATTGAAATGACGTCATCCAGTGAATATTAACCTACTGTTTCTAAAAATAATAACACTGAGTCAATATAAAAAAGAACCGACCACGACTTGATTATAATCTACTCATTGATAATGCAGCAACACGTTTGTCATCTACACTGTAATATAATGATATATTACTCCAATACTTCTTTTACATTATATAATAGGAAAGCAGTGACAAACACCTCATACAAATCACTTCAAAGGATGATAATTCACAAAAAGCGTGTGTTAGTCTTAACAAATTACGTTTAAACTTTGTACATGTACTACATTAATCATTTTTTATCTTAAGTCATCTATGTCATTTCTTATTCGTGTTTTTTGAAATATAGAAACTATGTTTATGATATATAACGATACATATGTTTTGCCACACGTAATACGATGCGTAAATAAAGATTATCCAATAGATTGATTAATTGAATGATCGATTGATTGGTTGATTCATTGATTACTTGATGGAGCTTTACGACTTGTTCTAGTTATGACCGAGGCTAAGTAAAATAGGTTAAAATTGATTTGGTGTATATTGGTACTATATTTTTAAAAAAACATCACACCAGATTTTTGTCTTAAGATGATATTTAAGTAAATGATGAGTATTTAAGTCTTGGAATTGGAATTCTTCAGAATGTTGCTGAAAGTCTTGGAACAAGAGCCTTTAATAGAATAAATAGTTCTTTCGTACAATAAATTATTTTTGTTGACCTATTCCCGTGATACGTGCAGATAATATGACCATGTTTTTATTTCATGATTACGCACAACAGGACAATAGGTGCTGTCCCCCGAGGGTGGTTACGTAACAGAAGCTACACGCATGTTATTGCCGATATATGTAAGTTTTATTGAAAAATGTCTCGCTGCATACCTACAGGACCGGTATATAAGAGGCGATGTTCTCAACTGTTGTTATTCGTTTCCATCCACGAATCAAGTGCTGACATATTCCCCGACTACAGGAAGGTAAGTGGTATATGTTTCTATCTCGTACAAAAAAAATTGCAAAAAGGTCACTGTGATATACATGTAAATGAAACCAGTTCTTAGATACAAATTATCGATGAAAGCATACAAGTACATTGAACATCCCTTAAGCTGTCTTCATAAAACCTGAGTAAACTAGATTATTGGAAATACTACAGATTTAAATGTAGGTAAAGTCAATTTCTCTCGGAAATGAACTTCCTTGTGTTGCATTATTAGACCTTTGTAAAAAGCCATAAACTGTTTATTTCACTGTAGCCGTCTGTTTTGTTTTCTCTACAGATACCCATCATAATCATGTTGAGATTAGTCGTTCTTGCTGTGTGTCTGGTTGCCGCCATGGCCCAGAGCTGGTACAACGATGACGATTACTTTGGAGGAATCGGAATCGGACACGGAATCGGAATCGGACACGGAATCGGACAAGGAATCGGACATGGAATCGGCCAAGGATACGGATCATACGGAGGATCGTCTTACTACGGCGGACAGGGCGGATACGGAGGTATCGGAGGATACAAAGGGTACGGACGAGGTTACGGAAAGAGGGTGATAGTGTCCAAGGGTTACGGTGGTTACGGTGGATACGGAAATGGCGGATACGGAAATGGCGGATACGTTATTGGAGTAGGATATGGTAATAGATACGGCAGTGGATACGGTGGATTCGGCGGTGGAAAGGGTGGAGTCATCGGCGGAGGATTCGGAGGAGGAAAGAAATCAGGTAAGTTATTATTTATTAGTATATTGTATACGTGTTAACTTCATAATTGTTGTTCATATTAAGCGAGAATAGACGCAATAAAGTGGCTTGATGATCACGCCACCAAGCGCATGTAGTCAGTAGTTCATTTTATCTTCCATGACAACAAATCAGTAAACAACTTTATCCTTCGTTGCGCATGAGCATTTATTGTAGATACATTTCGACATTTCCATAGAGTATATTATTTATCCTTTAAAGTGTCATTATACTCGAGTCGAAAGAATTATGATTTCAACAAACATGATTAAAATGCATATGTATTTATTTATCGATTCCTAGACAACGAATGAATATTATGTGATATATAATCGTCCACATATAATTGTAATCTACCCTTTGTAAAATCAGCATTTTTGTTTGCAGGTTTCGGAGGTTACTAAACCAAATACGATCCATACAAGAGGCTTGGGATTGACGACTTGATTTCCGTGTACATAGAGTGTGTTGTTTTGGCTAAAAATATTAAAATATCAATAAAAGCAATGCTTTTTTCCCTTTATTATTGCAACGGTAATCGTAGGCAACGTACTTCATAGACAACGAAAATAAGTGTAAAGTATAGAATTAAAAAATAGTTTTTGTTAATCTGAAATATATAGGACGGCGTCCTATGTATAAGGAATAAATGTCAGATGTACCGGTCGTTCGCTAAGATATTAATACAAGTGTCTCCTTTCATGGGCTACTTCAAGTTTTAGGCACATCTCATACTCCACTGGTTGGTAAACGCACAGTATGTAGCCTCTGTGTAAAAGGCAGTTAAAAACCACGCTGTAATCAAGGAACCAAACTACATTTAAAGTTCGCTTTCCAATTAAATTTCAATCCAGAAAACCCGGCTTGTCTGTCGGTATTTTATCAAAACTATATATGAGCGAAAGGAGAAATTAGTCCCATTTTGTTGTCATTCTCAAAAGAAACTGATTGAAAAATACTTTCCATATGGTGATTCGTCGTGGTTACGAAGTAAACAAGCCCCGTTTCGATTTCTTGGACAGCTTTTTGACGTTGAAAAAGCATCGCTTAGGAAAACGAAACTGCACTTTCTCACATGGTCACCACCACCGAGTGAAAAGGCGAAAAGGCGAAAAGCAAACATTCTCTATTCAGCCATGATAAGAAAAGTGTATTCGATACAATTTATATGTCTTTGATTAAATTTATTTTTTAAACATATTTATTGCCAATAAAATTGAACAGCCTTCTTCCGTCATGCATTTACAATTAAATGTCAACAATGATAATAGGTATAAACATGAATTAGATATATATATATATAATTTTCACACAGGTACAATTACACAACTTTAAAAAAGCACCGTTTGAAAGATTTAGCTGGATTCGATGAAGTGATGCACATGTCTAAAAACGTAAGAATTAAGGTCCACCGAAAGATCTGAACTGCCAATCAAAAGAAGCTCT